CCCGCCATCCCAACCGGGGCAACACCGGGACACCGTCCCTGCCCCGCCATCCCAACCGGGGCAACACCGGGACACCGTCCCTGCCCCGCCATCCCAACCGGGGCAACACCGGGACACCGTCCCTGCGCCGCCATCCCAACCGGGGCAGCACGGGGACACCGTCCCTGCGCCGCCATCCCAACCGGGGCAGCACCGGGACACCGTCCCTGCCCCGCCATCCCAACCGGGGCAGCACCGGGACACCGTCCCTGCCCCGCCATCCCCGCTCAGGGCAGCACCGAGACACCGTCCCTGCCCCGCCATCCCCGCTCAGGGCAGTACCGGGACACCGTCCCTGCCCCGCCATCTCCCCCCGGGACACCGTCCCTGTGCCCCGCCATCCCCAGCCAGGGCAGCGGGAGCATCGGACACGGTCCCGTCCCCGCGCGGTGTCTGGAGGGCGCTGCCGACCCGTGCCCCGAGCGCAGCCATGTGAGCGCACCCCGTCCCGAGCACACCCAGCACACACGCACCCGACTGCCGGGATGGCTCCAGGGATCCTCCAGCGTTCCCGGTTAACAATTCCACGAGGAAGACGCCGGCCGCAGAGGGGAGGGGGATTTGCCCACCGACGGGGAGGTCGTGCCGTGCCCGCACATGGAGCCCGGCGCTGCGAGCAGCCGCTCGTCACCTCTGTCCTCTTTTCTCATCCCTCGAGGAGCGCTGAACCGAAGGCAGGGCGATTTATTGGCCAGCAAAAGGCACTACACGCAGGGAGCGATGCCACTCCCGCGAGGGCTCCGTTTCTCTATTAAATCGCTCTAATTTCCCTAATCTGCGGCAGGTGTGAAACCGGGGCAGGTGTGAAACCAGGGCAGCGCATCCCCCGGCGCGCCGGGAACGGAGGATCCCCGCAACTTTCCCTGCCCTCCCCCCCCTTCCGCGCACCCTCCACCGGAGCAGGACACCTCAACGAGCCACTGCCACTGCCAAACCCCCCTCCCCAAAACACCAGCACCCCCTAGGCAGGAGAGGCTACCGGAGAGCCGGCACCGCATCCCGACGGGCTCTCAGTTTCCCTGCTGGGACTGTCTCCCTGCAGGACCCCGGAGCGACCCCCCGGGTTTGTCCCGTCCCCTCTCGTATCGGTAAAGCCCCCCGAGCCCGCGATCCGCTCCGATCCAACCCGCCGGCAGCAGCAACTCCCAGCGCCCGCCGCCGTGTCCCGCTTCGCCGGCGGGATGGGGGCGGCCGGGTCCCCCGGAGCCGAGACGGGGGACGAGGGTCCCCCTCCCCTCGCACCTCGGCGCTCGCTCCTGCCGCACATCTGCCCGCAAACCTGGCGCTCGCAACTTTGCCACCCCGCGGGACCACCCGGGGAGGATGCGGGATGCGGGGCCGCTCCGCACCCCCCTCCGCCCCGGTCCCTGCCCGGAGAGCGGCGGCGCGGCCGGGGGATGGCAGGGGATGGAGGGGAACGGAGGAAGAGAGGCGGCAGACAGGGGAGAGGGGTGGCGGGGGGCTGAGGGTGACCGCGGGGTGACCCCCTGCTTACTGCGGGCTCTTGGGGTAGAAGGGGAGGGTGACGTGGCTCAGATCCTGGATGTCGAAGGCGGTGGGCTCGGCCGAGATCGCCTGGCGCTTGGTCCGCTGCTCGCCCTGCAAGGTGCCGGCGCTCTGCTGCTGCGCCTGCTGCGTGGCGGGCCGGATCACCGAGCGGTACTTGTCCAGCTCGTTCTGCAGCTTCTGGATCAGTTCGTCCTTCTGGTCCAACTCCAGCTCCAGCTCGTCGATGAGCGCATCCCGCTGCCGCAGCTCCTCGATCTTCTCCTGCAGCGCGTACTGTAAATCCCGCAAAGTGCCCATGGTCCTGCCGCCGCGCTCGCCCCTCGCCGCTCCCGGCAACTTTCCCCCCCCCGGGCCGCCCTGCCGCGCTCGGGCCAACTCGGCCCCCGCCGCCCCCTCGGCCCGGCCCGGCGGGGCCCCGCCGCAGCCGGACCCCCGGCACGGCGCTGGGAGCCGGGCTGTTGTCAGGGGCGATCGCGATCCGCCTGCGTCAGGCTGGGCTGGCGAGGGAGCCGAGACACACACACACACCCGCGGCGGGAAGGAGGGAGGGAGGGGAGGCGGGAGGGAGGGCGGCGGGAGGGAGGCAGGGGCGGCGGGGAGGATGCACATGCTCTCCCCGCTCGCTCCCGCCCGGCCCCGCCGCTCCCCGCGCCGCCCACGCCCCGCAGGGTGGCCCGGCGGGGGCTGCGGGCGGGGAGGAGGGGAGGAGGGATGGAGGGAGGGGACCGGCCGGGAGCGGCTCCCCGCGCCTCGCCCCCGTCCTCCCGCGGGAGGAGGCCGTCAGGTCCGAGCTGCGCGGTCCTGCCCTCCCGTCCCGCTGCCGGCGTGTCCCCGGTGCCCTCCCTCCATCCTCTGCTCCGCTCAAGGTGCCGCTTTTCCCTGAGGAACTCGCCCGGCTTATCTCCCCTTTACTTTGTTTTTAAATAGCCCATTTTTGTCGCCTGCTCGGAGTGGAAGCACAAGCCGGCGCCTGGCATGGCTCCTCCTCAGTCTCAGCAAGCTTCGGGCTCCAAAAACCCAGATTTCCATGTGAATATCGGTCAAGTATGTCTGCACTGGAAAAGCCTGGAGGCAGGGTAGATGGGTTTCTGAGCACTAAAAAAAAAAAACCCGTAACTTAAAATTTGGGAATTTTCCGTGTAGCCCAAATACCCACGTGAAAGCACACGCCGGTTTCTGCCATACCAAACGCCATCGGATTTTCCCGGAGTGCGGGATTTTCCCTCGTGCACTCGGATTCCCTGTGTGCCGCTACACGCCGGCTCTACCTATGCGATACAGTCCGCGGGGCTGCAGCACAAAAATAACAGATTAGATGAGCCGCATCGGCTGAGCCCTCGGTGCCAAATGGTTCTGGTTCCTTCCCCCGTGCCCGCCTTTGCCAAGCGATGCACGTCGTGACAGCGCGACTCCCAGGACCGGCCCCCCAGGGAAAGAAAGAGGGGTGTGCGGGCTGGCTTGGGGCTTCCCGATAAGATCGTCCAGTCTGGAGGACTCGGCGATAAAAGCTCCCACAGCCCAGCTGGGCACTGACACTCCGCAAGAGCATCCGCAGTGCCGGGGCGCCGGCACAGCTTCGTGCTCAGCTGTTTTCAGGGCAGCACAAACAGCTGCTTCTATTCCCTCTTGGGGAGCTGGATTTGGGGAGAAGGAGGATGCAGCCAGGGATACGTTTTTTTGGGGGTGGGTGGTAGCTACATGTTTGTACCTAGACCTCCCCTGCGGGCACTAGCTGGGAATGCCAGACATCCAGACCCTGTTTATGGGATTGAGCTCTTTTAGGGTTTCCCGTTTATTTTTTTTTTTTACTGTTACATACTGGCGCTTGCCTGAGTCCAAAGCTCCAGCTTTCAACCTGCAGATGGTCTTTATAAAATAAATTTTTAAAAAAAATAAGAGTTACAACTGCTTCCTGCTCCATGCTGATCTTGGAAAGGGCCTGGCCTCTGTTCACAGACACGAGGCTTTGTAGGATCTTCATGTATTTGACCCCTCCTGCATTTTTCCAGATGCACATGAAAAGGGGGGGGGGAAATGAGTTATGTAAAAAGCCTCAGTTTTCAGTCCCCTCAATACATGTGTGCCAGGCACAAAGCAAAGTCCCCCAGTTGTTTTCACAGATTTAAGTTCAGACAGCATTTTTTACTGCCTGTTCCCTCCATTCCGGCCTCACACAACTCGCCAGGAGCAAAAGTTCCAAATATCCTCTGAACATTTCCATTTTAAAGAAAACCAGCATTAAATAGATGCATTCCTGCTGCCTACAAACTAGGAATCAGTGATAAATAAAATATTTTAATAGCATTCAGCCAACATGCTTTAAGTTTTATTGTTTTCCTCCCTACAGAAGTGATACCGATGTCTGGAGGAGGGAGACAGAGATACAGTCAACTGAAGCCCACCAGGCTTCAAAAGAATCCCAGCCCTGGGGGGAAACTGGTGCATAATTTCTCAGTGACAGGCAGTAAAGTCACACTACTTGGTTTCTATTAGAGGTGCCCAGCCTGGGACTGAGACAACAGCACCACGATCAGAGAGGATCCGGAGAAAACCATGAGAAATTATGGGCAGTAAAGCTGTCAAGGAATTTAGCTGAGTATATATAAAGAATACATTTATTTACAGGTGGGAAACAGATTTTCATAAGATCCTTGAGGCCTGAAGAGAGATTTTTATGGCTCAGTTTTAGGTTTGGGACCGTAACCAGCAGCTATCAAGTCTAAGGCCGATCTTTCCTGATTTAAGGACGAGGCCAGAGCAGCCCAAAGGGCTTCGAAACCCGACAGCCGAGTTCTGCCACGGGAAGGCAGCTGGCAGTTGCCTATTTTTGGCTATTCCCTGCTCTCCCAAAGAAACCATGGGCTGAGTGCAGATCCTGGCACCGGCTGGTGTGTAATCTCAGGGATCCCAGGGTACTGCCCCACTCCAATAAAAAATAAATCCCATGATCCCATTCCTTTCAACTTAAAGCTCCCAATAAAAAAAAAAAATAAAAAATCTCAGACTCTCAGAGCAGCTGCTTTGTGTTCTTGAGCCAGGGAATGGAAAGAAACAGCTTTAGGGAGAAGAATGGCAGGAATGCACCAACTTGGATTTGGGAGGACGGGGTGAAGCTGCTCTGTTTGTTAAGGAAGCCTTTGGCCATGGACATCCCAAAGGCTTTTTGTGATCCCTCCTCTGTGCCTGGATGTCAAGTAAGCAGGAAGCACAGAAAAAAAAAAGAGCATCTGCAGACAGCATCCTCTCTGCCCCAAAACGCAGCACTCCGTAGCTGGATGGTGGGAATCACATGGAACAGGGATGTTCCTCCTCTCCAAGGGGGCTCTGATGAACTCACAATATTTCCTCTCCGCACAGCTCCGAGGTTTTAATAGCTTTTGCTTCTAAACCTTCCAGGGATCATCTGTCACCAAACTCACCCACTCAGCTGCTGTCTTCCGAGCTAAAACCACATTTGAACACCCTCTATTCCATAGACACCTCCCTGGATTCCCAAGGACAAGCTCAGGTAGGCAGCGGGATCACTGACAAGCAAATGTCACCTTGCTACAGCCAGCCAGGACAGTGTGGATGGAGAGGCTGGAGATGCATCACTGACCACATACATAAACACTTTCCTCCTCCTGGAAGCATTTTTTTTTTCTCCCCTGCCTAATCCACTCTATTCTCTTCCCAAAATATCCGCAGGAGCAGATCAGCCTGTGGCAGGGAGTTGAACCACCTGGATTTTGCGATGGATTTCCCTGCTCGGTACCCAGTGCCTTCCCTGCACACATTCCCAGCAACACCTTTACAGTGAGAAAGACTAAAACACAGGAAGATGTAGAGGAAAGCAGCACGTACAGGAGCTGAACTCTTGCAGAAAGCACGCTGTAAACAACTCCAGTTGTATCCATCCCCAAGTGTCTCATCCGTGGGATGCCACCTGCTATTCCCTGTCCCCAAAATCCACGGCAGCCCCGAGGCAGAGGAAGGAGTGCCACCTGCTGAAACGTGAACACCCCTGACTCCTCCCTAGGGCACATTTGGTTCTTTTTGCCTTTTCAGAATCACAGAACACTGAGTTGGAAGGGACTCACGAGGATCATGGAGGGCCCATGTGGGGTTTTGCCCCACGGTGCCTCTGGTAACTCCTTCTGGGGCCACGGTGCCCTTCAGGTTTATATGGGGCAGCTGGAAAGAAATTCAGCCCCCAAGGGTGGGGATGAGGCTGAAACTGCTGTGTCAAAGCAGCCTCACCAAGACCAAGGAGCAGGAAGGAGCAATATCTGGGGAGTGCTTCAGCCTGATTTCTCTCTGAAAATAAGCCCTATTTTCTTGTGACACTGGATGTTCCTCCTCATTTTGGTCCTTTTTGGAGCCTCTAAAACTGGGAGCTGAAACCCATCTGTTCCTCCCCACTGAAGGGATGGAGATATCCAGGGCTGAGCACTATTACAGTGAGTGCTATCATTTAAACCCCATTGATTCCCGAGTGCTAGAAGTCAAATCCACATCTAAACTGGATTAACTTGAAGCTTTTCCTTTAGTACATTCTCAGCAAGAAGCACTGAGAAGTAGCTCTTGTGAAGAGCACGCAACTGGCTCCAGCCTCCCCAGGAAATCCTCCCAGGATGAAGATCATTTGGAGCAGAGCAGAGCAAGAAGGATCATTTGGAGCTGAGCAAGACTTATTAATGGCACAAAAAATTGCTCGCTGCAGAATAAGCAAGGGGGAGAAAAATAATCATGTGCTGTACTGCAGTTGGTAATGCATTTAGCTTTTTATATCACATTAGGGAGATGCAGAACACAAAAATGAATGTCTGTGCCATGCAAGGCAGAAGGATGAGACATACTGAGTGTATAACAGCATGGAATTACCCATGGAACACCGTGGTTTCAAGCCCTCCTCCCCCCGTGTGTGCAGATGCGGGAGGCAGAATCAGATGGAAGATCCAAGTTCCATGTTCTCCTTAGTGAGCCTTTTGCCTGGAAAGAATAGATGGCACAAAGGACCCCATGCACTGGCAAGGTAAGGGTAACCCTTCCCTCATTGTTTTTCCAGGCTGGAGGAAAGCCTGTATCCCTGGTTCCTGCTGGGTGGGCTGCAGAGCTGAAACATGAGGGGTATCAGCCATCCCCACGGGAGGAACATGAGCTTCACATCAAAATGGCACAGAAAATCATCCTCAGTCAGTTCAACAAGCCCTCCAAAGTTTGCTCCTTCCATTAGAGCACCCAAAACTGCCCCTCTGACTTCTTTCCCCCACTAACAAGACCCTGTTCCCACCATCTCTTCCCATGTGTCTGCAGAAACCGCAGATCCTCTGC